TTTAAAAACAATGGAAGGAGAAAATTATTGAAAAAAAAAGGTAAAATCTTTTGAGCTCTAGTTATCAAACAATGACAAGAGATGGCTGGACAGAACTGATGCATCATGGCAAAATAAGCACACATTGTTAGACTTAGGTTTAATTTGTGTTTAAAGGACCAGGCTATTGCAAACGACAATGGCCTTAAAGTTAAAAACTTTGAAGAAAGGCATTAAAAAGGGAAAGGTTTAAATATACTGTGCTGTTGTGAGATATCTTATGTTTTGTATTTTTAATACTGATTCAATCCTGCCTTTAGCATTAATAATTGCAATTAGTGAGACTAAGAGGAGTGAATGACATTTATGTTCCAGAAAGCTCGTAGTTAAATTCTACGTATGATTCTTACATCTACAGATCATCATTAACAGGCAGAATGCAAATAGCTTTTTTCTTTGAATATATCTATATTCAATAATCATTATTTAGTATATTTTATTCTATATTCACACATCCTTTGAAAATGCAGTGAAGTAATAGAAGGTCTTCCAAACCAATCTGATTGAAGATCATTTGTGGTGGCCTATAGACACAACCACACTTATACTAACCAACAAGACAGGTGGTCAGTCCTATATAGCTGATTGTTTGGTGGGCTCCATGGCCAGTACAAAGTGAGGTCCACCAGAGTCTTATCCTGACTGTGCGTCAACCCAGAATACATATGGATATCCAGTCCTCACTTGGCAGGACCTTGCACCTTCTAAATCAGAATGGAAGAGGTTACATCTCAGCCAAAGGCTCGTTTCCACAAATTCTGGTATTCTTTTTCCGCTTTTTAACTGACTGGAACGTTTCAAGGGACAAACTTCTCCAGCATCACTTTTGATCACTTTTCCTCAACCAAAAATTGTCAATTTTCAGATGGCCTTGGTCTAAAAGCAGTCAAAGATTTCTAAGCCCTTTGCAGATCTCTCCAGAATTACAATATTCATGGAACATATAGATGTTAAAGTGGCATTGATCAAAATTATGGATAGCAACTGTCCTACTACCTATTTTCTAGAGACATAAATGACTTACTTACATCTTCCTCATGTTGCTCAACCTTGTCCCTATTCCTATCTCTGCTGCTGATGAAACTCAGGCAGCAAGACCTGGACAATATCCAGGTTTAGGCTGACAAGTAGAAAGTAACATTCTTGCCGCACAAATTCCAGGTAATAAACAATAAAAGAATTTAACCACCATCTCTTGACATTCAATGGCATTACCATCGCTTAAACCATCACTGTCAATATGCTGGAGACTATCAGAATCTGAACTAGACTAGCCAAATAAATTTAGTGGTAACATGTACAGGTCAAAGGCTAGAAATCTTGCAGCAGCTAACTCACCTCCTGACTCACCAAAGCCTGTCCACCATCTACAAGACACGAGTGGAGTGTGATGGAATAGTTCCCACTTGCCTAGATCTATGCAGTTTCAACAACATTCAAGAAGCTTGACTCCATCCAGGACAAAGCAGCCCACTTCATTGGCACTACACCCACAAACATCCCCTCACTCCACCACTGACACTCAGTAACAGCAGCGTGGATCTATAAAATGCACCACAGAAATTCACTAAGACTTCTTCACACAGCACCTTCCATACCCATTATCGTTGCACCTGGATGTTTTTGATGACCGGTGTACAAGGGCATCTAGGTCACTATGTACACCAACATTTCCCAATCTATTACGATTTAAATTGTACTCTGTCATTCTGTCTTTCCAACCAAAGTGGACAACTCCACAGTTTACCCACATTCTGCAACATTTGCCATGCATTTGCCGGAATCAACATGTCTAAAACACCCTAAACCCTCTATGTTCACCTCATCACTCCCAACCCCACTTAGTTATGCATTGTTGGCAAACTTGGAAACATTGCATTTGATTCCTTCATCTATATTGTTAGTATATACTGTGGATAACTGGTTGAATCACTGATCTGTGCGATACTTGCTCATTGTTGCCTTCCAATCCAAAAAAAAATGTTGTTTTTTCCTACTGTTTCCAGTCTGCTGACAGTTCTCAACATATGCCAGTGTATTTCCACCCATCCAATGTGCTTTCATTTTGCACAGTAACCTCTTCTGTGGGATAGTATCAAAAACTTCCTGAAAAAGTTCTCCCTCATCTGGTCTGCTAGTTGTCCTCAAAAAACTCCAGGTTTGTTAATCACGATTCCACTTATATAAATCCATGTTGACTTTGGGTAATTCACTTGGAATTTTCTAAATGAACTGTTTTTTGTACCAGACTCTTTTCCCTACTACTGATGTTAAGCTAACCAATCTGTAATTTCAACTTTTCTCCATTTTAAAAAAAAAGAGGTGTTATATTTACCATCCTCCAATATTCTAGGACTGTTCCAGAATCCATAGAAGTTTGGAAGATAACAGCCAATGCATCTACGGTTTCCAAGGCTACCTCCTTTAGTACTCTGGGATGTAGATGATCAGGATCTGGTGAATTATCAGCTTTCAGACCCATTAATATTCTCTGGCCTTTTCTTAAATGAATACTAATTTCCTTCAATTCCTCCTTTCCAATTGACCCTTGCTTCTTAGCTTTTCTGGGAAATTATCTGGTGTCTGCCATTTCCTTGTTCACCATTATCAAATTCTCCTGGCTCAGACAGAAAAGGGTATACATTTGTCTGCACTATTTTTTGTTTTAACACAAGCTCTTTTAGTCTTTTTTGATATTCCTTATAAGTTCAACCTCTTTGTCTATTTTTCCCCCTCGATCTAATACTGTCCTTAATTTGTTTTGTAAGCCATGGTTGGACCATTTTTACTGTTATCGTCTTCCATCTGGAAGGAATTATTGCAATGCATGCGTTAATTCTTTAAACATTAACTATTGTCCATCTACTGTCACGCCTTTTGATGACATTACCCACTCTACCACAGCCAACTCATCCCTAATCTCTTTGTAGTTTCTTTTGTTTAGGTTGATTTTACAAAACAGTTTTTGTTTTAAAAAATGGTACTCCTGTCTTTTGTTGAACTTGTCAAGCTGCTGTCAGCTTGATGATTGCAGGAGAGCATGATGTCAGTTTTCTGATAAATTCACCAAGAAAAGTAAATTCAATCCAGCATATCAGGGCTGTATCTTAGAACCTCAGGACAGGGTGGGAGAAAAATATATTGTACAATTTAAATGTAAGTCAGATTGGGATGTCTGTTTGGAACAGCCAAGTCAGACCAGAGGGTCTGTTTCCATGCGGTATGACACTACATTATCACCTAGAAGGACAAGCACAGCATATACATGGGAAAACCACCACCTGCAAGTTCCCTCCAAGACACTCACCATCTGGACTTGGAAAGATATAGCCGTTCCTTCACTGTCATTGGCTCAAAATGCTGGAACTGCCTCCTTAATGACATTATCGGTCTACCTACAGCATGTAGACTGCAGCAGTTCAAGAAAACAGCTCACCACGACCTTCTCAAGGGCAACTAGGATGGGCAATAAATGCCCACTCAGCCAATGACACCCACAAATGAGTAAAAACAGACATGATGCATAACTAAACCAAAGGCCTTGTCCAGCGTATGCTCACACCTGATTTTACTCTCAATGTATCATAATTGGCTGTATTGGTTTCATGCAATATTGTATGCCTTCTGTAACATGAATTTATATCTATAGAATACCTAATAAAGAACTTTCAGATGCTCTAAAAATTTATACTTGTGCAAAATCTAGTTGAATGGTCTCCCACATCTGCTAGACAATAATTGCTTGGATTTTATAAACAGACAAACTTGGTGCCTTGGCAGTCAGGAAACTTGAAAAGGTAATGAATTTAAATACCACCTCAAATATCATAAGGTTAGAAAACTTAAAAAAAAGAGTAACAAGGCATATCCTACAACCACTGAATGCAGATATTAACTTCAGTGAGGTTCATTTGTGGTGCAAAAATATACAATTTAGTTTATTAAAAATAAAAATATGAACGTTCTGACGAAAGACCACAGAACTGAAACATGAACTTGGTTTCAATCTCTAGATACCTGCTGTTTCAAGCATTGTCTTTAAAACATCTGCTTTTTCTTTCACTTTTGGGAGTATTTACGCACTTATAGCAGTTTCATGTTATATTATTTCAGTGATTTGGTGCTGAAAATGCAAGCGTGCCTTGGAGAGTAGGCCCAATAAAGTAAAACTCAGAACTCAGTGGGTTAAGTAATTGATGCCAATACTTTTCAAAAACCCTTTATAACGACGTTCCTATGGTCGTCATGGGGTCCTAACCTCTTTCCAGATAATAAAACAAGCAAAACAATTCACAGGATGGATTCAAAATAACACACTTATTTGCAACTGTCTGATCAAAAAGCTCAATTAACAAGTTCTCCGGAGTCACTCTTTTTCCTTATTATTAATGCATCGACTGACAAACAAGTTGACAGATTAAAACCATCACTGATACAAATCACCCTTCACATTCCCAGATCAAACGCCTTTTTTCACCAATATTTCTGTCAGTGGGTTAGAAATGTCCGTATACATTCCTGGATCCCCTTTTCCTCCAACCACCACCTCAAAAAAATCATGAATCATGAAGAAAAGGTGATTAATCGCCGAAATTTAAACTAGAAACCTGCAAGTTTTCCGATGGCCACAAATTAACACAAAAGACTGGACACATTTCCCCCCCCCCCCCTCGACAAACCGAGAAGGCGATGCCCGTCAGTCCAGTGAATACCTTCAGGACAGAGGCGGCGAGCTGACAGACAAAAAGCCCCACGGTTCATCCCTTCACCGAGCAGGAACAGGCAGTGCTCACAGCTGATCTGTTGCGGCAAGTCGGGAGTTTAACTCTTTCCTGAAACTAACCACTAACAGTCGGTTCAAGGGGCGGGGGTACACAAGACAGATCAACATCCCCACCCTGTCTGCCTCTCCTCGCCGCCCGGCACAAACACTAACCTCAGGACCCTCTAAGCCACCTTACCTCACAACCCCAACACTCTCTTCCACTTCGATTTAGTGAGACCCAACTGAGAACGCTGCTTGACCCGCACTGCCTTCCGTACACATACATTCCTTCCGGCCTGTTGTCAGGCGACCGAGCTCCGCTCACCGCCCGCCCCGCCCCCTCCTCCCCGAGGCTGAAAGACATTGGACACTAACACCGTCATTTGCATGTCCACGCCAAGGAATGAGACGGAAGGTGCACCAATCATTGGCTGAGGTGGACGTCAATCACCATACGTCACGGACTAGCGCGACCCACCGCACGTGCTCGGTCTCGGGGAGCGGGGAGGAACCATTGAGGATCCGACTCCAGCGGCAACCAACCAGCTGGGAGTTGGGTGAGAATTGACAACCTGTTCGCCCCTTGTTTCCGTGACCCCATGGAGCAGCCCCGAACATTCCTTGACAGCGGCGCTCGCAGGAGATGAGGTGAATGGGCGACCCGGAGCAGGTACGTCGTGCTGCTCACCTGGGTCCATGATAAAGAAAAATTTACATTTAAATTGCACGTTTGGCAAACACTGGGCATCAGTGCTTTAATGCCTGTGTAATTTTTTTTTGAAATGCAGTTAATGCTGTAAGGGTGGGAAATGGGCAACCAATGGGCTAATGACGAAATAGTTTTTTTAAAAAGAATTAATTGCAGGAGAAATATTTTAGTCAGGACAGTGGGTGTAATTCAGTTCCGCTGAACGACCTACAACTTGAAACGACAACTTGGTTTTCCTGTCTCCATAGATTCTACTGAGTGTTTGCAGCGTTTGCTGTTGTTCTTTATCAAAATAATGTCTTGGGATCATCTATATTCAACTCCGCGATCAGGCATGACCTTGAGTTAACTTATGATCCAAGAAGTGACATCTCCCACAGCACTGCGATGGAATGTCAGAATTATAGAACATAGAACATTACAGCGCAGTACAGGCCCTTCGGCCCTCGATGTCACGCCGACCTGTGAAACCAATCTGAAGCCCATCTAACCTAAACTATTCCATTATCATCCATATGTTTATCCAATGACCATTTAAATGCCCTTAAAGTGGGCGAGTCTACTATTTTTGCAGGCAGGGCATTCCACGCCCTTACTTCTCTCTGAGTAAAGAACCTACCTCTGACATCTGTCCTATATCTATTGCCCCTCAATTTAAAGCTATGTCCCCTCGTGCTAGCCATCACCATCCGAGGAAAAAGGCTCCCACTGTCCACCCTATCTAATCCTCTGATCATCTTGTATGTCTCTATCAAGTCACCTCTTAACCTTCTTCTCTCTAACGAAAACAGCCTCAAGACCCTCAGCCTTTCCTCATGATACCTTCCCTCCATACCAGGCAACATCCTGGTAAATCTCCTCTGCACCCTTTCCAATGCTTCCACATCCTTCCTATAATGCGGTGACCAGAACTGTACGCAATACTCCAAGTGCGGCCGCACCAGAGTTTTGTACAGCTGCAACGTGACCTCATGGCTCCGAAACTCAATCCCTCTACCAATAAAACCTAACATACTGTACGCCTTCTTAACAACGCTATCAACCTGGGTGGCAACTTTCAGTGATCTATGCACATGGACACCGAGATCTTTCTGCTCATCCACACTACCAAGAATCTTACCATTGATGTGTTCAAGTCCCAAAGTGGAACTTAAACTGACAACCGTCTGACTAAGAGGTGACAGTGTTACCAACTGAGCCACGCGGCACAGGATGAAGTTTATTTACAAATAGAACAACTTACGGAATTTAAATATGAAGCACACATGGGACAAGTATCATGGAATGACCTAATTGTATTGCTCTTGACTATTGTTATTGATGTATTTGAGAGATCAAAAGTTGTTACAGAGAATGCAAAGCATCAGAAAACATCCAAAAACTGACCAATAATTTTTAAAGCTAACAGTAACTCCAAAATCCTGCTAACCCTTTTTGTAAGTCTGTGATAATAAGAAAGCAAGATGCTATGTAGACTTGGTAATTTTCAATTAATATTGGCGAAGACGCCCTGCTTTTCTTAGAAATATTGGCATGGGATATTTCATAACAACCTGAGCAGACAGGTCTCAACTTAAGAACTCATCCAAAGAACAGTACCTCCAACAATGAAGCACTTCCTTGGTACTGCATTGGAGTGTCAGCCATAATTTTTGTATTCAATTCCCAAGGTGGGGCTTGATCTCAAATTACACTAACTCAGTTACACCAACCAAGCTACACAATAGCAATAGTGTGGAGTAGTGTGTTTAGCTTTCATTAATAGAGGGATTGAGTTCAAGAGCCATGAAGTTATGCTCCAGCTATACAAAAGCCTCATTCGGCCACATCTGGAGTATTGTGTCCAGTTCTGGTCACCTCATTACAGGAAAGATGTGGAAGCGTTAGAAAAGGTGCAGAGGAGATTTACCAGGATGTTGCCTGGAATGGAGGGAAGGTCTTACGAGGAAAGGTTGAGAGAGCTAGGGCTTTTCTCTTTAGAACGACGAAGGATGAGAGGTGACTTGATAGAGGTGTACAAAATGATCAGAGGTATAGATAGAGTGGACAGCCAGAGACTTTTTCCTAGGATGGAGGTAGCTACTACGAGGGGGCATAGTTTTAAAGTGAAAGGAGGTAGATATCGGGGAGACGTCAGAGGTAGGTTCTTTACTCAGAGAGTGGTAGGGGCGTGGAATGCATTGCCGGAGAGGGTAGTGGAGTCGGCCTCATCAGGGGCATTTAAGCGGCTATTAGATAGGCATATGGATGATAGTATAAGGTAGCGGTGGAGGTTAGAAAGACCTTTGGTTTAGGGTAAAAGTTCGGCACAACATCATGGGCCGAAGGGCCTGTACTGTGCTGTACTGTTCCATGTTCTATGTAAAGGTATTAGTCTGGACGACAAATTCTTGGACTGCATTCAAGTAAAGTTTCTAGATTGGTATGTTGTACCAATTGGGAACAGTCTATTTTAGACCTGATACTATGCAGTGTGACAGGATTAATTAATAACATTATGGTAAAATGGGAATCATGACCAAAATATAAGAATTTTATAATCAAAGAATCCCTACAGTGGGGAAACAGGCCCTTCAGCCCAACAAGTCCACCCCAACCATCACCTATAACCCACCTCATCTACACATCCCTGAACACTATGGTCAATCCACCTAACCCACACATCTTTGGACTATGAAAGGAAACCAGAGCACCTGGAGGAAACCCACACAGACACGGGGAGAATGTGCAAACTCCACACAGACAGTCACCGAAGGGTGGAATTGAACCTGGGTCCCTGGTGCTGTGAGGTAGAAGTGCTAACCACTGAGCCACCGTGCCAATATAATACTGAGGAGGTCAGGCACCGTCTGTGGAGAGAAACACAGCATTTCAAGTTGACATGACCCTTCTCCAGTGTTCTGAAGAGGCTGAAAAGAGATAAACAACTGCACAAGAGGAAATATATTGGGGAAAATACAAAGTTTTCTGTTTTGGAAGCAAAAATTAAAAAGCAGATTTTTTAAAATTGAGAGACTCGGGAAGATTGAGAAACCTGGTGGCTTAATTGTGCACAAGTCAGAAAAAGTTATTGAGCTGTTGACATGGTGGTATATTGGTGGTGTCACTGGATTCATAATACTCTGAGGACATGGGTTTCAATCCCACCCCAGCAAATGCTGAAATTTGAGTACAATCAGAAAATCTGGAATTTAAAGCTATTCTAATGGTGACAACAAAACCATTGCCAATCGTTGTAAAAATCCACCTTGTTCATTAATCCCCTTTTAGAGAACAAAATCTATTTTCTTTATGTAGTTTGGCCTATATGCGATTCCAGATCCTTGGCTATGTGGTTGACTATTAAATACCTTTTGAAATGGCTAAGAATGTTACTCAGTTGGAGATAAACACTGTGATGTCTAAGAGAAAGAATGATACCCAGCCCTGTCCATGCAAAATCCTTTTTACTAACATCTCAGGGTTGTGAGAGCTGTCCCACAGACTAGTTGAGCATTGGCCTGACGTCTGTAAAGTGTGATTCTGAACATAAGGTTATGCTCCAGACACAAACAACACTATTCCCGGTTACGAGAGGTGACAGTACATTTATTCTCATCACCTAAGAAATATATACTTGTCATAAAGGGAGTACAGTGAAGGTTTACCAAACTGATTCTGGGGATGGCAAATTTCTTACGTAAGGAGAGATTAGGTCAATTGGGCCTATATTCATTTTAGTTTAGAAGAATGAGAGGGGATCTCAGTGAAACAAATATTCTGACAGGGCTGAACAGACTGGGTGCAGGGATTATGTTTCCCCTGTTTCAGGGGCCGGGGTGAGCAGGGATCATGCAGGATACACAGTAGACCATTTAGTATGAGATGAGGAGAAACTTCTTCACTTATTGTGGAATTAACCTGTGGAATTCTCTACCACACAAGGCTGTGGGAGCCAAGTTACTGAATATATTTCAGAAATAGATATCTGGACACCAAAATTGTCAAGTGTTATGGGGAGAAAGCAGGAGTATTTGTTTTTGAAACAGAATATCAGCCATGGTAATATTGAATGGTGGAGCAAGCTGGATGACCTAAATGGCCTGCTTTTTTCTATGTTTCTAAATTAGAAGATGTAGGAGCAGAAGTAGACCATTCAACCCATTGAATTGCTCTGCCATTTGACGAGATCATGGCTGATCTGATATTCCTCAACTTCATTTGCCTGCCTTTCCCAGAACTCTTGTTTCTCTTACTGATTAAAAATCTGTCTATCTCAGCCTAAAATATACTTAATGACCCATCCTCAACAGCCTTCTGCAGTAAAGAATTACACAGATTGACCACACTCTGTGAGAAAAAGATTCTCCTCTGTCGTAAATGAACAATGTCTTAGTCTGAAATTATGGCCTCTGGTCCTTGACTTTCTCACAAGGGAAATAGCATCTCTGCATCTACCCTGTCATGTCCCCTAACAACCTTGTGCATTTCAATAAAGTCTCCTCTTATTCTTCCCAATATCAATGAATACAAGCCCTACATAATCAATTTCTACTGATAAAACTGTCCCTCCATACCTAAAATCATCCCAGTGAACTTATTCTGGACTACCTCCAATGCCAGTGTGTATCAGATAAAGGGCCCAAAACTGTTTACAGTATTCCAGTTGTGATTGTCTAGTACCTTGGACAATTTTAGCAAGATATCCTATTTTTACATTACTTTGAACTGAAAGCCAGCAGTCCATTTATCTTCCCTCTTACTCACTGAATTTGGATTCTAGCATTTTGTGATAAATGCACAAGAATTCCCAAATGCCTCTGTGCCGAACCTTTCTGCAATCCTTACCAATTCAAATAATATTCAGCTTTTCAATTGGTAAGTTGTTGGAGGGTTTTCTGAGAGACAGGATTTACATGCATTTGGAGAAGTAAGGACTGATTAGGGAGAGTCAGCATGGCTTTGTGCATGGGAAATTGTGTCTCACAAACTTGATTGAGTTTTTGAGGACATGACCAAGAGGATGGATGAGGGCAGAATGGTTTATATTGTTGACATGGACTTTAGCAAGGCCTTTGACAAAGTTCCACATCACCTACATGGACTTCAGCAAGGCCTTTGACAAGGTTCCACATGGTAGAGTAGTTAGTAAGGTTATATCACATGGGATCCAGGGAGAGCTAGCCAATTGGATAAAAATTTGGCTTGATGTTAGGGGACACCTCTTCCACAGCTTTCCATCTCATATTCTCCCAAGCCTGTACACCCCACTTCTATCATCTCCCCAAAATACACAAATAGGACTGCCCAGCCAGAGCCATTGTTTCTGCCCATTCCTGCCCCATAGAACCTATTTCTACCAACCTCAACTTTATTTTTTCTGCCCTTGTCCAGTGCCTTCCCACTTAGATCTGCAATTCTTCTGACTCTTTACATTGGTTTCAAAACTTCCAGTTTCCTGGCACCAGCCACCTTCTCTTCACCATGGATGTGCAATCCATTTACATGTTCATTCCCAATCAGGATGGTCTGAGGTATCCCTTATTCTTCCAGGAAAGAAGGCCTGAACCATCCCCACCCACCACCACCCTCTTCCACCTGGCTGAGCTCACCCTCATTTTGAACAACTTTTCCTTTAACTCCGCTCACTTTCTTCAGGTCAAAGGTGTGGCCATGGATACCTGCAAGGACCCTACTTAATCCTGTCTCTTTGTGGGTTATGCAAAACTTCCCTCATTCCAGTCCGACTTGGGTCCCTCCCCATAACTCTTTCACTGGTACATTGATGACATCATGGGTCTTGCTTCCCTGTCTCATCTGGAATTAGAAAAATGGAACAATTTTGTTTCCAATTTTCACCCCACTCCCACCTTTACCTGATCCATCTCTCACAGTTACCTTGACAGTACATCAATATACATTGCTTCTTGTGGGGATTCCATTCCATTCTCCCAGTTTTTCTATCTCCATACAACTGTTTTGATGATGCCACCTTCCACAGGAAGCTCTCAGAAATGTCAACCTTTTTCCTAACCAAGGATTCCCTGCCAGCATAGCTGATAAGCTACAAATCCATGTCTGACCCATTTCCTGCATTTCTGCTCTCATCCCTTCCCTATCCTCCTACAACGACAGGGTTCCCCTGGTCATCATTTCCCACCCCACCAGCCTCCAAAAGATTATATGCTGCCATTTCTGCCACCTTGAAAGTGATGCCACCCACCAGACATATATTCCCCTTCCTTCCTTTGTCAGTCTTCTGCAGGGACCATTCCATCTGGGACACCCTGGTTCACTTCTCCTCCACTCCTAAACTTCCTTACAATCCCGCGGCACTTTCTCACATAATTGTAGAAAATACAACACTTGCCTGTTTACTTCCTCCCTCCTCATATCCAATGTTCCAGATACACCTTTCAGGTGAATCAGCAGTTTTACCTGTACTTTATTCAATCTAATCTACTGGATTTACAGCTCATAATGTGGTCTCCTCTACACAGACTGAGAGACTGCTTTGTGGAATACCTTCACTGTGTTGGTAAAAATGACCCCAAGTTTCAATTTGTCATCAGCTTCTTGTTACGTGGCTCAGTATCACTCTTTATTTTATAACGTTCCTAATTTAATTAAATATACTATACAATATAAGTTGTTTTTGCCTTCCTAATTACCTCCACCACTGAAGACTTGTCAGTGAATGGGAAGAATCACCTTTATTTTTGTTTAAACTTGATTCCAGCCTGTTATATTTTGCAGAAAGGCAATAAAGCTGATTAATTTATTTGTCTCCATATCTACCTGTAATCGCTATAATAAAAAATACATCTTGCACTTTGAAAGCGATTAACATTTAGTCATTGATGCTTTGACCTTTGTACATTATCAGCATGAAAGCTTTCTGAATAAGCTATTTCATATTAAACCTAAATCTCTTTCTGTTTTAAGGGTGCTAGAGATAATTGACAATACGTAAGAGTCTGAAAAACAATGAAGAATTAGAAAAAGTTGTCTTGATGAAGAACAAAAATGTCCTTCAATCACTTTGTTATATAATGCAAATATAATTCAAATCTCTTTTAAATTTCAGGAACAAAATAAACCTACTCAACAACAAGAACAAGCATGACCAAAAGTCCCTGTTAAAGATTCAGATTGTTCCTGAAAGAAATGAGAGGCCAAGAGGATTTATTTTTATTCAAAGTACATCCCTATTTGTGTAGCAAAATACTTGCAGTTATATAGCACCTGGGATTTACAGATACATGGATTATTAAAACGCCATACAAAGGTGCATAAAATTATCAATCGAATGCTAGACTTTGCATCGAAATGATTAGACTATAAGGGGGTGGAATGTCAAGCTTCAGCAAAACATATTTCTGTTTAGACCCTATCTGGAGTACGGTATTGAGAGCATTCTGTCACTAAGCATTGCAAAGGCAATATTAAGCTTCGAGGGAGTGTAATGTTAATTTACCAGAATGATACTTGAACTGTAAAGATTAAATTTAAAGTATGAGGCAAGGCACTGCAACTCACACCCCTGGTGTGTTTGTTTAATGCCTGGTCTGGAGGTGGCCTTACCTGGGCTTTTGCTCCTATACAGTGCTGTTCCAGTGATTGCAGCATAGCCAATGAAAGGCAGCTGATTTTCTGCGGGAAGACCACAGATGGCCTTGAGGATGAGCTGAATCAGTCTGGGCCTTGAGGGCCTGACTGGTCTCAGCATTGGCAGCAACAGTTTGGGCTGGCTGATTGAAAGGGGTTCGAATTAGAAGATTTATAAGTATTGTGTGTATTTTTAAATTTACGATGAATCAAATTTACAGTCATGTGACTTATTCTGAAGCCTATGTGACAGTTAGCCTGGGTGATTTAATTTTTAGAGATCAAAAGAAAGCTTGGATTGTTTTACTTCGAACAACTTCCAAGGTATTTATGCTTGGAAGCAATGGCAGCAACCTCTAAATTTACAAGTAGACTCTCAAGACTGGATTTTGTCAACAGCAGATCATCTTTCATATCATAACCTGAACTATGCGCCACTTCTATTTTCTTTCCTTTTATCTTTTTGATTATAATTAAAATTTTAAGTTTCAGCACTGCACATGCAAAACATATTTGATTTAGCAGTTGGGAAAACATTTCACTCATGAAGGTGTCATTAGCTGATAATGCTGCAGCTAGGTCTGGCCTATTGTAGTGTGTTCTGGTCAAACAAGGAGGCCCTGCATCATGGACAGCCACAACTTTTCTGCCTAAGTTCATTGCCATTGACATAAGATTTTTGAGCACAGAGGTGCCATGGGAGTTTCTCAAAATTAAATTTCACTATTTCATATTTTGCTGGTTTCGTTTTAATTATGTGTGCATCATTGTTATTTTATTGAAACTGGCTTAGTCAGAATGTAAATATGCTGGCATGCTTCACTGATAGTTACAAGGGAATTAAGGATATTTCCTTGACTGTGGAAAAAACAATGACCCATATATTCAGATGGCCAGATGTTGCTGCAGCAGCTGAGACCTGGAGCTAGGCATTAGGACCATAAGAAATCCCCACCAAGCTGACTCTGAGGAAATTGCCCAGATTGTGGAAGATTCCAAATGGGTATTTCACCTGCATCTGCCTTCGGTAAAAAAAAACCCTTAAAGTCAGAGAATACTGAGGGTTCCAACTCACTGAAGCTTAAAATTACCCAGGAAACGTTAGAGGATGAAAATCCTTCTCTAACTCCTGGGTAGCTATTTAAATAATCCCCTGCTTCACCTCTGACACCCCTGACTACAGGTGTGAGTCCTGACACCCCTCAACCAGACTTGACTGCTACTATTGCTAACCTGACATTGTTGTAAATCTTTTCTGAACCCTTTCAAATTTCACAACATCCTTCCTACAGCAGGGAGACCAGAATTGAATGCAGTATTCCAAAGGTGGCCTAATTAATGTCCTGTACTGCCACAACATGACCTCGCAACTCCTATACGCAATGCACTGACCAATAAAGGCAAGCATATCCTACGCCCTTTTCACTGTCCTATCTGCCTGCAACAGAACATGGCACACCTACTGCTGCAAAAGGGGAATGGTTTTGACAGTTATCCTCTCTGCTGGCTGTAAGGATCCCTGGACAGGTCTTCCTGTTTTATAACAGCAGGCTCCTGCCCAGAACTTTCCAGAGTAGAAATTAGATAAATATATTCATGATTTTTTTGTATGAGAAATAGGGTTTCTGCCCCGATCAGAATTTCTGGTCCATCTCTGGTGTTTTTCCGCTCATTCTTTATTGAGTTCTCGTATTAGTGTCCATTGTCATACTCACTGTTCTTTAAAACATGGCTGATATGTCTGCTAAACTGGCCCTCCCATTCATTGCAAAGGATTTTACTGAGTGCAGTTTCAGCAAGGCTAATTCAAGTGTTGTCGATGAACTCATAGCCCTCTGAGAACTCTGCAGCCAACATTCTGAGATTGACCAACACTTGGTCAGTATTGATACTGACCTTTCGGTCCTGCATTTTTCATCTGACTGACCATTCCCACAACCAAACCCAAATCTCCAAGCCTTTTCTACTTCCTTGCCTGTGACCACACCCCACAATTCCCCTCACCATTGACTCACGCTTGTCTAGAGATTTAATGCAAGAGTCCATTATCTGCTCCCAGCCCTTGTATTAAACAAGTTAAACAAAGATAACCAAAGACACAGAACTTCCCAAAGGTGACAGGTACATGCCATCTTTAAATGATAGTGAACCAGACCAAAAGACTCTTATGTACCGTTGACTTTATCTTGAAGGTAGAATTTTATTGAAAAAGGTTTCAAGTTTATTCATGACACACAAATGTCTTAGAAATATGAACCCACCAGACGCCAACATAATAAATCACAACATGAAATCTTGTCATTCTTTCAATTAACAAATTCTTTCTTAAAAGTTACTGGTCTCCATGGAGCTTGTGACATAGGCAACAACAATGCCACGGCACTGGTGAAAGTGTAGATATTGTCATCCTGATTGAGGACAACAGGTTTATGTTCCATGGTGTCTCTGCCACTCCCCTCTGGGTGTGCCCCAGGTCCTACTAATCTGCTGGAGGGCAGATTGCTGGACTGCTATCAGGGCCTGCATGCTTGTTTGAGCACTGAAATGACTATGCATGGCAGCAAACATAGATCGCATGACCTCAGTCTGAACTCTTACAACACTCATGTTGTGTGGTTTCTGTTGCACTATAATGTCGCCCCCAGGAACTGCATCACAGGTGGTTCAGCAAGTGCTGTCATGGAATTAGCCACCACCTCCAAGCTGGAAAGAATTGACTCTAATGAAGAATTGACTGCAATGTAACACACTGCAGAAATCTCTATCGTGCTCTTTGAGAGTGACAAGTGGCTATCGTTCAGGACTACTAATGCACAGAGCATCTCAGGGTGCATATTCTCAGTGTTCTCCTTGTGTGTCATTCAGTGCTAGTATCTGAGTCCCCTGCAAGAGAAGCCATCTATGCTCTTACCATACAACGAGCTGCCACATGAATA